AAGCAGAACATAAATATTTACTTATATTATAAAAATTATTGCACTTTATATTATATTTATAAATCTAATAACAAAAATTATTAATTAACGATTTAAATCACATGTCTTAAAATTAACTTAAAATCTGAAAACAATACAAATGATTAATAACATGTGGTATAAAATATAACAATTTTAACGTGCAACAGAAAATATAATAATTCTAACATGCATTGGCAAATATTGACTAGATGTGTGTTATCAAGCAAAATAAAAAAAAAATAAAAGCGAAATTACATTAAGCCTCATCAGATGTGTTTTTATTTCCATATAAATTTTGTGAATTATGCAGTTCTAAATGCCTAGGATCAATTTCGAAATTAGTACAATTAATGCCTTCTGCTTGAAAACTTGACCGAGTTACACAAATTGCAGAAACAGTATCATTAGATAATCGGTTTCTTTTTTTATTTTTGGCGTCTGTTACTATAGAAAAAATGCGTTCGGCCTCGGCATTAGAATGAGGTAAAGAAAGAACTGCTTCTACTAATAACTGTAAATTTGGAAACATTATTTCATCATTAAAATCTTTATGTGCTAATATTTTGCCCCACATTTCATCAATTTCTAAAGAAGCTAATTCCTTTGTTTGTTCATCGTCAAAAATAGATGGTAAAATGCGCCATTCAAAATCTAATTGAGTAATATCTATATTTTCTATAATCACAGCGATATGAGATAAATCTTTAATTTTTATTCTATTTTCATCATAAAGGGCAATTTTCGGATCTAAAAAAGTTAAATGTTCAAAAAGAGGATCCTTGTACGGTAAGCGTTTAAGCATTTCTTGAACTGCTGTTTTATAAAAGTCTAAACATGCTAATTTAATTTGTTGTCTACATTCCAAAGGTAATAATTTTAAAAGATTCTCACATTCGAGAGTCCAACATGAATGTTTTCTAAATTTAATATGTTTTGTTCATTATTTACATTTAAATTATTAATACATTTTAAAGAATTTACTGTCATAAAATTTCGACCTAATTGACGAATCAATTGTTGGCTACTTTCAAATAATTGATGAACTAAAATTACGTGACTGGAATAAAGCATTAAAACTGTTAAAAAAATTTAATACATATTTTAAAAATAAAAAATACGCTTTAAAAATGTCATCGTTTAGGTGAGATAAAATAACTTCCGCAGATTTCAATTTATCTTCAACTACTGCTAAAACAAAATAATTTTGTAATACATTCCAATTTTCAAGAATTCTAACAACGCATTTTTGTAAAATGAGCCATCTAGATAATTTTAATAACTTATTCCTTTCCAACACACTTCGAAGAATTCTTGAAATTCTCGTAAAATTGCACATCGTTTCGCACTGCCCGAAATATAAGTAGAAATACTTCAAATTAAATTTTCACAAGATGAAGGCAATTTTTCACAAGGTTTACTGGCAACAATCGCAGAGGAATGGCAAATACAATTTAATGTTATTAATCGCGGTATTTCTAATTTTAAACGTTGCATAAAAGAATTATTGCATCCAATCATAACTGATGCATTGTCACATGCCATTCCGGCAATATTTTTAAGTGAAATTTTTTTTTCTTCTAAAAGATTTTTAAATATTTCAAAAAGTTTACTCGCGAAACAATCTCTAGCATCTAAAGTAACTAATTCTAATAATTGTGTTACAACTTTTTTATTTACGGGAGAAACATATCGGACAAGAATACACATTAATTTTGAGTCTGAAATATCGGTACTTTCGTCGATTAAAATTGAAAATCTAGATGATTGTAAATTATCGACAATTTTTGATTTCACGCTTTGCTATTACATCTTTAACAATATTTGTACATTTTAGTCGGCCTAATGTAAAATCTTGTACAACTTTAGGATCCATGCAAATATCCTTCAATAGTGGAACTAAGTGATCTACGGTATAAAAAGCGACATTATGTTCAGCATAAAATGCTGCTAATTTAATTTCGAATTGTTTAACTTTATCTTTATGTGATAATTTTTCTGATTTATTATTGTCATTATCAATTGATTTTTAAAAATTTATATTTTCAACATGTTTGACTCCTTGTGAGTGTTTAATCAAATCTGATTTACCACATCTGATGAGTGTATTGCGTGCAGTGCATATTGCTTTATCTTCTTGATGATAAGGAGCTAACCATCCTTTAAACACATCCTCATCTAGCCATGAAGATTGAAATGCCCTAATTTTACGTTTCTTAATTGCTCCTTTTTCCATATTTAAATAAAATATACTTAAATTAAACTAAATAAAACAAATTATACTTACCTTACCTAGCCCATCCTTATGCAGAGCCCGCCAAGACTATGCGCCCATTTCTTTTACACTGGCTACACATTACGATACACCACTGCGCTCGGCTGTTTCATCGTCGCGCATGCGCCAGAAATCCGTCCTGTCTAACAACACTGGGCCTCGAACGTCTAGCTAACAAAATGGACGTACGCTTGGCTTGACGTAGTAATACGCTGATCGGACGCGCGTATTCGGTTAACTTTAGAGACTAATATCTCGTTAATTAGGATAACCGGCCCAATTACTGTGCCTATCCCTATTAGTGTGCTTTTGTATTTCGATAATTCACAAAGAAAACTAGCACGAATAAATAAGAAAAAATATTTTTTCTTGTTTTAAGTTAAATTATTAATACATACTTGTTGAATCAATCTGGAAATAAATAAAAATCCTGAAGTATGGGCCGTATTCATAGTCAGAACATATTCTTAAGACCGCCTTAAGTACGGTCTTAAGATGTCCTCTAGATATTTCATATTCGAAAAATAATACGGTACTTGAGTAAAATCTCAAGTTAAAGCTTATCGAAGACGATCTTATTTCAAAACGTCTTGAACGGTCTTGACATGATTCATAAACACAACTTGTTTAAAATAAGCATAGACTTAAGACTATCTTCTTAGTTACGAATTCATAGTCATTATAAGACATCTTATTTAACATATAAATATAAGAAATAAGGCGGTCTTGGCCAAGACGTGTTCGAGGTGTACTTAAGCAAAATTGATAAATGTTAAGAGGACCTCGTTCAGGTCAAATTTTTTTTTAAAATACACTTAATCGATGCGTTTTCGCATAAAAATAAAAATTTGATAATGGAAAAATGTCGTTTTGTCCCGCGAACCGAGATATTAAACATTAAAGTTGACGACTATTGAGGTTAGGAAATCTGTAATTCTTAAATGTATCGGTATGATCATGCGTTGTGATTACGTGTGCAAGTTTTTGTAGGCGGACAAGATATTTCTCTACTACAGACTCTTATTTGATTGTATTGAGAAAAATGGTAGGTATATTTAATAAAGCAATTAAATAAAAATCCTTGACTCGCTGTCTAAAATATTGTTGGTAATGCAAACTTGTGACCTAAATTCATACGGAAAATGTTTTGAGATCGGGATTTAACCTATCATAAATAAATATATATAAGATAATAAATGGCTTAAAATTATAAAAGAAATTAATAAACAGCATACAGCCACAACGCCAGTTAAAATTAGCAAAAATATATTTAATTTACATCAAGTAAACGTTTCGGTCACCATCTGACCATCATCAGTAAGGGAAAGGGGGGCAAATAGTGCCGGATTTTTTCTCTCGCCCTTGCAATGCTAATTTTAAGATTATAAGATACGATTTTTCAATAAAAAAAATACTTTCCACCTTCAAATATACAAAAAATTTAATTAAAGGTTCCGTAAGTTATGTTTAAAGGTTAAATTTTCATTAGAACTGAAATCTACATTTGTTACTATTTGCCCCACCCTAAGGGCAAATAGTGACATTCTAAGGGGCAAATGGTGACATTTACAAAATACACAGTTTTTATCTCGGTTTTCATTTTGATTAGTTAAGAACTTAATTTCTTTACTCTGTAATATGTACTT